CTTCCATGTTATTTGTCCTCTCAACAGCCAACTGAATACCTCTGAAGAGAGTGGGGAAAAAACAGGTCGGGCTCCTGACAGTGTTGATTTGTTTGTTTGAAATACGCTTCGACAGTATTTCCAAACAGAATGGAGCCTAATGCGGGGAAAAACTTGACTGAAAAGATGAACGCCGAGATGTTTGAATCATAATGGCACAAGTTCAGATCTGGCGTACAGGTATATATTTCACCTATTTGTTTAGGCTCGGTCGCGTTTTTTGTTGTTGTTATTGTTGCAGCAATGCCACAAAAGCATCAGATGCATCAGAGTTGGGCCGATACAATGAATGTACTATTAGCATTTGCAAGTCAAATGCACGTGTTCCATCAAAGTACTCCATCAAAGCGCATTTGCGACGTTTCTCAGATTTAATACTTTGAAAACTCACCAGATATGGAGTCTCTCTGACTTCTCGCATCATCTCTCCAAGACACTGATAATACGATTTCAGTGTTTCTTTTTTCCCCCTTTTTTTTTGCTGTTGAGAAACAAACTGGATTATGAAGAGATCACTACATAAACAGCTTTCTAAAAGGAGCCAGCTATTTTAAAAGAGGCTGAAGGAATGCAAAGAGGGATTTAAATTTTAATTTGAATTTATTCCAGCAAGTGAAAGGTTCTTTTGAGAGGGGATTTCGGCAAAGATGATGGTATTTAAAAGTGATAAACAAGAATCTAAACCTCCGGTAAAATGCAGACATTTCTTCTTCTTTCGAACACAGAGGCGAAATAGGGCTTGCTATGGTCACAGCTGTCAACCCACAACAACATGAAATGTAAACTGAAACATCTTGCACAGATAAGTGCTGCATGCACACGCAACCTTCAGCTGGAAAGTTTCTGTGCCGGATGTTGAGCGTTTTTGAGCTTTACAGGAAGTCATCTGTGGTTCATTTCAGGGTTATTATCGTTGTTTGTTTACTATAACTAAAAATACAACTATTAGAAACATTTTGTTAACTGAAATTAAACTGAAATTTAAAATAATAATAATAATGTAATATATATATATATATATATATATATTATTATTTTCTTACTTTTTTAAATATATATACACACATATATAACAAAATTAACAAATATTAAAGCTAAAATAAAATAATTAAATAAGACACATAAATATACATATACTGTATATGTGCGTGTGTGTGTATAAATAACAAAAGCACATTACACATTTACAAAAAATGTAACAAATGAAAAATTTGAATATAAAAATATAAAGAAAAGAAAGAAAATAGAAAATAGTTCCGAATGCATCAATCAACAACCTTCTCTTTCAGTATATGACTAGTCATATATTGGCAGATATTGGTAATCCCGAGCTCAGAGACCCATGAAAACATTGTATTTACTAAGCAACTCTCTGGCTTTTCGCGCACTGGTCATAAGTGGCATAAATCGTGAGTTTAGTGCGTATGTGACATACATAGAACACATACCACACAAACAAAGAGTTACATCATGCTGTTGCATGGTTAATCCGATCAAGACCAGTCTTTATGCCTTTGCTATCTTCAGCAAATGCCGCCAAAAGTGGCAAGTAAACCATTTAACAAGAGTCTAAGAGAATGATTACAGAACCAGGACCGGATACGATTTCACACTGCTGGATGGCTCAATCGCATCTCCCAAACAGGCTTAAAACTGGAGAAACACTATAGGGCATCACTTTTTTCCAGTTTTGTAAATATTCCATTCTAAAGGCTGTCGAGTGAGTAACTTTTGAGTTGGCAAACTGGGATTGTGCACGCTTTGTAGAGCACGTCACAACAATATGGCAGTCGACAAGTCAACTGATCAAGCTGACAAGAAGCCTAATAGAAACAGTAATCACTGGGTTAAAGATGGTGCCAGTTTGTAATCAATGGTTCTAAACTGGTTTTGTCTCACAACCCAGATTTGACATTTGTCATAAATATTACAAAAAAAACTGCAAAGGTCCAACAACATGCAAAATGATTAAAACAAATGAAATCACATACCACACAAACAAAGAGTTACATCATGCTGTTGCATGGTTAATCCGATCAAGACCAGTCTTTATGCCTTTGCTATCTTCAGCAAATGCCGCCAAAAGTGGCAAGTAAACCATTTAACAAGAGTCTAAGAGAATGATTACAGAACCAGGACCGGATACGATTTCACACTGCTGGATGGCTCAATCGCATCTCCCAAACAGGCTTAAAACTGGAGAAACACTATAGGGCATCACTTTTTTCCAGTTTTGTAAATATTCCATTCTAAAGGCTGTCGAGTGAGTAACTTTTGAGTTGGCAAACTGGGATTGTGCACGCTTTGTAGAGCACGTCACAACAATATGGCAGTCGACAAGTCAACTGATCAAGCTGACAAGAAGCCTAATAGAAACAGTAATCACTGGGTTAAAGATGGTGCCAGTTTGTAATCAATGGTTCTAAACTGGTTTTGTCCCACAACCCAGATTTGACATTTGTCATAAATATTACAAAAAAAACTGCAAAGGCCAGGTTTGGAACAACGTGAGGGTGAGTAATTAATGACAGATTTTTCATTTTTGGGTGAACTATTCCTTTAACATAATTTGAAAAGTAAAATGAACAATTTTTTAAATGCATGCACTAAATAAATCTTATCAGACCTGCAAACACATTGCTCTAACAGCTAACACTCCTCTTGCTAAACTGTTAAGTTCTCATTTCCACTACAAAACTTTAAACTTGGGTTTTAAAAAAAAGTCCACGTACAGTCCAGTTTATTAAATCCTCAGGAATTATCTTTTCCTGACGGAACAAGGTTTGTCTGGTCTCAGTTCACTTTTTTGCCATCCATTCCTGGATTTAGCCAGGCAACTCTCCTGAAAGCACTGAACAATTGGTAATGCAGGGTGATGGCAATGACTGGAGCATTGTCTCAGGGGACAGCCAGTTTCAATAGGCTCGGAAAGGCAATCCAAAAGGTGCAGATGACAATGGCTTTGTTGCTATTTATGCAGAGCAGATAGCCGGGCATTGAATCAGGCCTCCCCAGAGCCACCAGAAAGACCTCTGAGAAACGTACAAACCAGGTGATAGGAGGGACATATGCTGCGGTGGATCCAGTCACTTCAGAATGGAAGCCATAGAAAGTTTGACTATCAAGTGCAACAGAAAACAAAACAAAAAAAGACATGGACGTGGTGGACACAAGACGTGGTTAGGACACCTTTCTTCAGTCATTTTCTGAACTTGTTCCTCAGAAGCACCAGTAAACAGTGAATTGCATTTAATTTGAAAAAAGAACTGTTGTATAAATGCAATATCACACTCGTAGCCATGTGATATCACTATATATCTGCATGACTGTGACTACCTACGGCCAAATCACAGCCATGCTGATATAGAGCGATATCACACGACTATACTTACTACTAATACACTTATATATGAAATTATACAAATGTTTTCAAACTATTAATATTTTCAATACATCTATGTTTTCTTTTTTGAAAATTGACCATTTTGATCATATTCAATATATATACTGTTTAATCCTGCAATACACTACATGATTTTTGCCCCGATTTTCCGCCAAATTACTGTCTGGAGAAGTTGCCGAGAGTCAGAGCCAGTCTGCAGATCTGTGTTGACAGATTCCATAGAAAATCATTTTGTGTATGATGGTCACAGACTCTGATTTTTTTTAGCTTCAGACTATGATTCCATCTAGTCGGAAAGATATCAAACAGGTTTAATTTTTTCAGACGATTTTATAACACATATTGTTTTCATTTGTCAAGCATCTCCTAGCAACAATTCTCATGTTTCAGAGTGAGTTTGTTGTGATCGGAACGACTTCATGTAAGTCTGCTGTGTATGATCCTCAGTCGTTAAGTATGAGGGCCAGTTTTCCTCTGTCACTATTTACAAAGTCAGTAAGTGTATGATGCCTAGCGTTTTAAAAAATCTGTTCAGATTTTAAAAATCATTTAGTGTATTCCAGCCTTTAGTATTTTTGGAATATTTATCTGTCACACTACTGGTTAGTGTTACTGGTTATGTTTATAGCAGTGTGCCTTAATTCTTTAATATAGAGAGCAACCAAACCTCAACCAAAGATCCAAGATTTATTCATGATTAAATCTAGATGCTTCCAAAAAATGAATAATTTGCATGCACAATACAATTATTTATGACTTCAGTACCCTTACAAGTAAAAGACCATTCATGCATCATAACAACACACACATTTTGCCAGGTGTTTTTGCAAAATGTATCCACCGATTTGATCGGTACACACACACACACTCTCATTGTTAGCTTTAGCAAAGGCTAAACTATTTGACACTTGCCAACTGGCATTTGAGTTGACGTTAACACGCCGCTAGCCGACGTTAATACAACACTACTCGGATAAAGGCAAAGTGGTAAACAGCGGTGCTGGCTGAATAAATGTTTCCTCATAAACAGCTCTAAAATATATCATCAACAGCAAGCACACTCTTATATTCATAACATCCATATTCATCCATTTGGGAATGATACATTTGCTTGATCCTCTGTTGTCGGTCTTAACGCTGGCAAAAGTGCTCTATAATTATTGCTCTCGGCACCAGGCTGAGACAAATAAAAGTTACATCGCAGCTGCATTAACATGTGAATGCGGCTTACAGAAGCGCGTGTGGTAAACTGCTCCACCTGGCTCGCGACAAACGTCCTTGTCACAAAGTCCACCCACCGCACTGGCTTCCGATGAAAGGCCTCCTGGGGGACTTCAGTGACCATTCACTATGTTTTCTCTTTTCCCAAGCACCTGTGACTGTTTTTGTGCTTTTCCATTTTTTTCTGGCTTTGTCTCTGTCTCATTTTTTTTGTTTTGGCAGGGCCCTATCATTAGGGAAACACTTTCTTTCAAAAGGAATTCTCGCCGCTAACAATGCTGTTTGTGTGTTTACTAGGAGAAACAGGCCTCCGAATGCATCCAAAAAAACATGTCACGGTCAATAACGGCGGGAGAAGGTAGGTTACGGCGGTCACTCCTTGCCTTTCTTGGGCAGGTGCAGTTGGAAAGACTCGCCTCCTCTGCCGCTTCCGAAGGCTCATCCGGCTTCTCCATGGTCCTGGACCTTGGAGAGCTGCTTTGCCATTTTCCAAAGGAGTTTGGCACAATGGCTTTGTCCCCTCTTTTCATTGTGTTTCTGTAAAACACATTTGCAGCATGACTCTCCAGGTTTATCCCTCTTGTGAGCCATCTACCCCTTTTCTCTTTCTGCTTCCACTAAACCTACGCTCATCTCGCCAACCTGGAGTAACGGAGAATTACTCGATTGTGCGCGCGTAGTTTTTTTCCTTCTTCCACCCTTCAGCCGTGGCTATTTGCGCTTTCCCACTTAGGCCATCTCGATTGATACTCGGCTAACTGCTAGCCGAATGCAGCTTGCCCGAATTTGGCCGCAAATGGAAAAACGAGGACGGAAAGGGGGGTGGGGGGGTGGGGGGGTTGGGAGCGGGAAAAATAAATATGCAGATTAAAAAGTAAACATTCTCCAAGAGAGGGAAAAACAGCCACATTTTCGTATTTAATCCAACTTAGCAGAAACAAAAATAACACATTATGCCCTAATTGGGTGCCGTGTAGTCCACAAATACTATTACAAGGCCGATCAGGGGGATAAATATGCAGATTAAAAAGTAAACATTCTCCAAGAGAGGGAAAAACAACCACATTTTCATATTTAATCCAACTTAGCAGAAACAAAAATAACACATTATGCCTAATTGGGTGCCGTGTAGTCCACAAATACTATTACAAGGCCGATCAGGATTAGCTCTGCTACATACCTAGTTATCTATTTCGGAGTGCCAAGACTGCAAGCAGTGGGCAACTAAATTTCACAAGCTTTGCAAATCCAGTTGTCTCCTAAATACAGAAAGTACTTAAATCCAGAGCTAACACAAGAGAAAGAGGGATAAAGGGTACTCTGCATATCACCAAAAAGCTTGTGCACTTTGCAGAATCACTGGCTAGGTTAAACAAACATGCTAAGCAGACATCAAAACAATCCTTTGATCTGCAGCCTAGTTTCCGGAGCAGAGGCTGGGCTCCTGTTGTAAATAACTTGTATAAATCTGTACCGTTTACCTTCAGGTAATTTTATGAAAGTGCCAGGAATTCACAAGGAGAGATCAGATAAAAGCTGTATCAGTTGTTTACCCACTACTATACATTCTCACGTGGCTAATGATCACATTATTAGCGTCGGCGAAGGATAAAAACACGGCGGCTTACGTACCTCGGGCAGCCCGGGCAGGTCCGGCGGAAGCCAAACGCATTGTCGGGCGTCATACAAAAGAGGCTTGAGGAATCTGAATGCAGGGAAGCTATGTAACTTGCTGACTAACTTTGTCCTCTGTTTTGATGGAGAACACAATGGAAAACGCTGTCCATTCAAATCGGCCAGGGGAACAGAGGGGGCCGTGTGCCTGACTACCATCAGTGCCCTGAAAACAGCTCTGAGGGCACAGGCGCACTGGCACCGGGCGACACCACACCACTCACGCCCAACAGAACAACTTTTGTGCCGTTGTCATCCTTCAGAAGTTTGTCTTCTTCTGCAACTAGTTTTTTTTTCTTCCCTCAGCGGTTGCAAAGTTGTACAGTTGTGCTTTTGATTCGAACAGCTGCCATTCCTCGGCTTCTGCTTCCGCTCGGTTATAGCCGAAATAGAGGGCCTGTTGTCTACTGAATCAAGAATCAAGTTTAGTAGTGAAAATGTACTTTTTAAACTCGCATTGAAAATGTAACTCAATTTGACCTGCTATGATCTTTGAAACGTTTCTGTTCATTCCAAGTCTTTACCCAGCACAAAGTTCACAAAGTTTCTTCATTAAACTCAATAACTCACTTGTTTATCAGTTAACCAAAGATAAAAATTGTAGCTTAGATGACGTTTTGGTTTGACATTTGCTTATTCATCTGCATAAATAATTTCACACATTTTGTTCTATACTTTGCACTGTCCATTTAAACCACTAAAAGGAAAAAAAAAACTTGATTGACTTGACATTCAATTTAAAAATCCTATTCATGCAAACAGAGCTGGGCAGGGCCGTAGCTGAGGTATGCGAGGCCCCGGTGCAGGTGGTACCCATGGGCCCTGTTTGAAATCGTGTAAATAGCACAAATAAATTAATAGAACAAAGATACAAATTAAACAATGATTTCATTTATTTTTTCAAGTCTGTAAGTGTTCAGGTACAGAAACAGAATAATCAAATGTAAAATATCATTGCATAGTCTTCATTGTATAAATTAAATATTGTATAAATTCATTGTATAAATTAAATATAGATTAATTCTTGTTAAAACTACAAATGTAATTTAGTCAAGAGCAGTGAGTGATTTTCTCTCTCCATTTTATTAATTTTATTTTTTATATTTTTTTGGGATTAGCATTAAGGACACCGAAAACATTTAATTAGGAGTGGTCACTTTAAGCAGGGGTGCAAAAATGGGGTATGCAGTGCATGGGGCGCCGCACGAGGGGAGAAATAATTCTGAATCTTCCTTAATAAAATGTTATAAAGAATCAAAAGCTTATTTGTCAAAAGCTAATGAAAGAAAACATTTTTATTTATCTTTGTTTAGCATTAAACGAGTTCAAACTGTATTTTATTATCAGGTACTCACATCAACAGCTCACCCTTCGATATTACTGTCACAGGCAATCAATCAACAATTAACGTTTTTGGTAGAGAGGGCAAAGTGATTAATCATAATATCATTTCATTTCTGATTTTTTCTGTCACTCAAAAAATGTTAAAACGTTTTGTTTATGAATGGGCGTTCGGTTTATATTTGAGAGAAACTGAGGAGATTTTTAACAGGGATGCAAACAACTTTTGACGAAAATCGCTGTTTTTAATTAAAACATTTTCATTTTTGTGTGATTCATGTAGATCCAATGGGTTGCTAATTCATACACTGAATGCATAAAAAGTGCTGAAAGTTTTTAGTGGTTTTTAAACGTTATAATAGTAATTCTATAATGTCTAAATATAAACCCAAAAGCAAAACACCTGAAAAGGACTATATAGGTTGTGGAAACCGTAAATGAGCCAATGAGTGATCTTCTGCTGCCATCTACTGGTTGTAGTGGGAATATCATGTCATTTTCAAGTGTCTTCCAACAGGTGGCAGAAATCTTAAGCATGACACATTTTCCATGTATTATCTCCATGAATTAAAAAAGCCACTTCTTCAAAGTGAATTTTACATAAAATGTTCTAATTTTACATAAAATGTACAAAAAATATGAATAATTTTGAGACAAAAAAAAAAAAAGAATATATGGGGGCACCAACATCAATCCGCATACCCCTCAGCAAATGTGCAGTTGCACCCCTGACTTTAAGACACAATGCATGGATCCAATATAATGATACACATCCGATTTCTTTCTCAACTGTTTACATTCACTTAAGACATAACCGACAGTTTTTCAAGGATACTTGCCAAGACGGGCATTTTGACATAATTTTGTATGTATTTGTCCGTTCAAGTGCACGGGTGCTGAATTAAACTCATGTCTTTTTGTGCTTGAATGTTTAAATTGGCAAGATGTATTTGTTTGTTCAAGCACAAGATGAGGCGAATAAGCTTGCGCGCTGTCTGAGACGCAGCTCTCTGTGTGTGTCTTCTTGTGCTTGAATGCTTTAAAATCTCTTGAATGTTTAAATTGGCAAGGCTTAAAAACACATGCAAATAAGCTTTCATGACAACATGCAGCAGTGGCCCGTCAACTGTCCTGAGCGTCTTTCATGCTGGCCTTGGGCAGTCAGTTTGAAATTGTCAGGGGCCCCCCACAGCTGTGGGCCCCTATAATCGTCACCACCTTTCTCCCTACTAGCGACGGCCCTGGAGCTGGGTAAATGTTAAAGGATACCGAACACTAGTATATTAGTCTATTATAACAAAACCAGTAATTTTGACCATTATGCAAGTAACAATTTTACTTGACTACACAGTATTCATGGGTTCATGCAGGTCATATGATCTTCAGCATTTCAGTAACACCATTACATATGCAGTACCATTCATATGTTTGGGGTCAGTAAGATTTTTAAATAAATACATTTTATTGAGCAAAAATGAATTACATTGTTCAAAAATTAGACTAAAGATTAAAGACATAATTTTCCATTCATTAAAAAATCCTGAAATAAAAATCATGGTTTACATAAAAATATGAAGCGGCACAACTGTTTTCAACATTGATAATAATAGGAGAAGTTTCTTGAACAGCAAGTCAGCATAATAGAATGATTCCTGAAAGATCATGTGACACTGAAGACTGGAGTAATGATGCTGAAAATTCAGCTTTGCATCACATGAATAAATTACATTTTACAATATATTCAAATAGAAAGTCATTTAAAACTGTAATAAAATTTCAAAATATTCATATTTTTACTGTATTTTTGATCAAATAAATACAGCCTTGGTGAGCATAAGAGACTTCATTTAAAAAAAATCCAACCCCAAACTTTTGAATGATAGTGTATAGTATTATTAAAATATTAATTGTTACATGATAAACTACGGACTTAGGGCACCATAATCATATATTTGTCTACTGTACTAATACTTAATTCTTTCTAGTTGTTATTAGTTATTTCAAATCATACTTTCTCATAAAAAGTCACAATATAGAATAAAAATAAACTGAATTCAGGTCACAACATGTAAATATATTTTTCCCCCCAAGCTTAAATCCCAAAGCATCCTCTATGCAAATGCATCATGGCACACCAAACAGGAAAAGACAAAATAACACACGGGATAAAGTAATACTAATAAAAGAAGGGGGAGAGAGAAGACAGGAATACATTTGTTAATTTCTGCTGTTGTATAAATGTAGGAGATGAGAGCGCTGGTCTGGGTGCTGTGCATATGCATCAGGGGGCTAAATTGTGAAATGACAGATAGAGATTCTGGGTGCGATAGTGTGGAATGACTAACTAATAAGAAGGATGCGTCGGTCTGTTAGCGGAGAGAGGCATTAGCACTCTGGCTGTCAATCAAATGGCGGGATGCGGGGGCTGGGTTAGGGTGGGCTGGTCTGGGGTGGGGGGTGTCTAAACAATTATCATTTGCACAAAGAGCAGAATTGTCAAGATCACACTCATTTTGGCACTCTCAAACAAGCCAACTGATTAGAAACCTTTTATATTTTCCAAACTAAGAAAACATCAGTGCTTACCTTTAAAAAATGTTGCTAGGATGGTTGCTTGATTGTTGCTAGTCAAAAGATCCCATCTATATGTCTATGTTATATTCTGGAACCTATATGCAGCTCAGGATCCTCCTTCAGTACAAGTATACACTCTTAAAATAACGCTTCTCTATTGGTATTGATGGTTCCATGAAGCACCTTTAACATCTATGGAAGCTTTCCATTTCACAAAAAGGTTCTTTATAGTAGAAAAAGATTCCTTACTTTTTTATGTTCTTCACACTAAGAAAATTGTTCTTTTAAGAACTGCTCGCTTAAAGGTTCTTTAGGGAACCCAAAATGGTGCTTCTACTCTATTAAAAATTAAGGTACCAAAACAAGATTTTTTAACAAGAACATTTTAAAAATCTAAAGAACTTTTTTACACTTTAAGGAATCTTTTGTGTGATGGAAAGGTTCCATGGATGTTAAAGGCAGAACCCAAGAACTCAAAATGGTTCTTCTGTGGCATCACTGCGAAAACACCCTTTTGAAATCTTTATTTTTATCGTTCGCCTGGATAAAAATCATAAGTTTGTTTGCTTTGAAGTAGTAATCTTTTCCTCAACAAGCTGCATTATTTTATTTACTTTCACAGCATGAAGCTATGCACCAAAGTTTAAAACTTAGGGTTTGTCCAAATCGAGAACCATAATTATGATAGTACACAATTAAAAATAAAGGTTCTTTATTGGTATCGATAGTTCCATCAAGAACTTTTAACAGTCATGGAACCTTTCCATTGCACAAACGGTTCTTTATAGTGGAAAACGGTTATTTAAAATTATTAAAATGCTCCTGTCACAAAGAAAAAATTGATCTGATAAAGTTTTTTTTTTTTTTTTTTTTTTGTGGAACCAAAAATGGCTCTTCTATGTGGTATCACTGCGAAAACCTGCTTTTGGAATTATTTATTTATTTTATTGTCCACTGTATAATAATTGTAATTTTGGTTGCTTTGAAAAGTATTAATCCACTTTTCCTCAACAAGTCACATTATTTTATTAACTTCCACAGCACAAAGCTGAATAAAAGTTTAAAACTTAGAGTTCGTCCAAATCTAGAACCCTAA